CACCTTTTTCTGAGCTCGACCAACATAAATTTGTTTTCCATTGAGCTCCTTTCCGTTCATCTCATCCACAGCTTTCTGTGCATCTTCATGCCTTTCAAAGCTTACAAATCCAAATCCTTTGGATTTTCCACTTTCATCAGTCATTACTTTCACACTTAAGGCAGGCCCAAACTTGCCAAAGAGATCCTTAAGGCGCTCATCATCCATGTCTTCTCCAAAATTCTTGATGTAAACATTGGTGAATTCTTTTGCCCTAGCTCCAAGTTCAGCTTCTCGTTCTTTACGAGACTTAAATCGTCCAACAAATACTTTGCGATCATTTAGGAGCATTCCATTCATTTTTTCAATAGCTCTTTCAGCTGCTTCCTGCGTCTCAAAGTGTACAAATCCATAGCCCTTGGAACCATTTTCATCACAAACCACCTTACATGAAAGGATGTTACCAAAAGCAGAAAATGTATCATACAGTGCTTTATTATCAATGGATTTGTCCAGATTTTTAATGAATATGTTGCCTACTCCACTTTTGCGAAGTGATGGATCACGCTGAGACCACATGATGCGTACTGGCTTGCCCTTTATAACATCAAAATTCATGGTGTCCAAAGCACGCTCCGCGTCCGCCGGCTGCTGGAAGTTCACATACGCGTAGCCCAAGGAGCGGCGGGTGATCATGTCCCTGCAGACCCGGATGGAGAGGATGGGCCCGGCCGGGCTGAACTTCTCGTAGAGCATCGCCTCGGTCACGTCGGGGTGGAGGTCCCCCACGTAGAGCGAGGCCATGGGGTAGCTGGGGGCACTGGGGTTCATCTCGGCACGGCTGCCCGCAGGGCCACAGGCCGCGACCTTTCCGTGAGAGGAGGAGAGCGAGTGCCGGGGCTGGGGGCCGGAGCCGGGGGGAGGGGAGCGGGGAGCAAGCGCAGAGGGACAAAAATCAACCGGAATTGAAAACTACTCAACGGCCGCAGAACGGGGTCGATCCACTGCCGCTGGCTGCCGGCTGCCGGCGGGGAGCGAGGGTGGCGGTGTCGGGTCCGGGCAGCGGGAAGGCCTCGGTCTCTTGGTTCCTTCTTGGAGCTGCTGCGGGGCCGCGGGCGGGCGGGTCGGTCTCGGCTGCTTCACCGGGTTATTTTATAAAAGAGGAAGAAAAAAAATAAAAGTCTCCGGCGGGGGAGACGCGGATTTTTTGTAAATTTTTTTTGGCGTTTTTTAAAAGATTTTTTTAGATTTTTTTTGGATTCTTTAATAATAAATGTGTGTTCCGAGCCCGGAGCACACACTCCGCACTCTCAG